AAGGAAGGAAGGAAGGAAGGAAGGAAGGAAGGAAATAAAGAAAAAGCCCACAAGGGGTCTGCAGAAACCTCCCCACCCAGGGTGGCTCCAGGATGAGATTCCAAACCGGCCCAAACCCGGTCCTCCTCCTGTGCCCAGCCCCGATCTTGACCTGAGAGAGAGAAGTGTCTGCCTCAGCTCTGTCCTCACCAGCAAGCATCGGGGAGGATCAATTCTATTACTTCATTGGTTCTAACAGCAATCGTATTCTACAGATCGGTCTCGTTATTCACGGTCAAAGCTAGAGAAACAGAGTCATCAAGAGACTCGCCCGAGACAAATTAGGTCTAATTCTGGTCATAAGAGCAAGACATATTGTTTTAGTCCCATTAACTCACCACAGCAGATCATGTCACCTTTTGTCCAGGGCCCGGGGAGGCCCAGAGCAAAGGGGGACCAGGAAAACACGTGTTAATCCTCTGTTCTCCTGTCGGGCAGCACTTCTGAGCATATTCGGAGGGTCCTGCCCTGTGCCGGTGCCCCAAATGCAGAGACAAACGGGTTCTGGCTGGGTGCACCGGGAGTCGAGGGAGAGCCAGGGCTCCTCTGTGCAGGGAGTCGAGGGGGGATCCAGGGCTCCTCTGTGCAGGGAGTGGAGGGGCGAGCCAGGGCCGGTGGCAGTGATGCCCCAGACCCCCCTGCTGGCTCCCACCCACGTGTCTGAACTGCACCTGTGAACAACGGGGCCTTGAGGACCGAGGGGCGACGCCAAGCATCAGCTTGGAGTCTGGTCCTCGGGATAAAGCCGTTTCTCTTCTTCATGCACCTGTACCGGTTTCGTGACCCCCTAAGTGCCAGTCAGGGTCCCCGGGAGGAGCTGGTGAACCCATCGCTCGCCTGTCTGGCCTCGTTGTCCCCGACGCGCGTCTGCCAAGGCTCAGGCCGTGTGCCGGGAGATCCCAGGGCGTGTTTGCCCGGCCGGGAGCGCGTCTCTGATCGGTGGCCGGCTGACCCCCCGCTCACAGCTGCCCAGAGTCCCCCGAGCGGCTGGCGGCCTGACCCGTGTGTGGGAAGCAGACCCCGCGGCGCTCAGGTGGTGTTCCGCCTCTGGAGAACTCTGGACCTGAGCCGCTCACTGGCCCCGTGTTGCAATCCACTTGTCCCTTCAGCGCGCGCCTGACCGGTTGGGAGGCTCGAATGAGACCCTGCCTGGAAAATCACCTTACGAACCAGGAATGGGGACACAAGGACGCGTAATTTACACGACCCTCCAGAGCCCCACCTCCTCAGCTCACACGCTTCCTGCGACACTAGCGGCTTTAGTATGCTGCCCCCAGGACGGGGCCTGAAGGGGTCCCCAGGCCCCATCCAGACCGGCTGAAATTTTTATTTTTACCGCTCTGGAATTTTTATTTCCCCCCCCCCATATGATTCTGAAGGGAACCGCGTGGGGCAGCCACTGTCTCGGGGTGACCGTGAGATTCGCTCCCAAGTGGGGCACGTCCAGAACCTCGGGCTTGCGTGTGGGGCTCTCTCTCCAGGCGGGCGTGTGTTTTCAGGGTCCTCGTGCTGTACCTGGGGAACCTCTACAGCCTGATCATCGCTCTCCTGGACAAAGTTAACAGCATGAGCGCTGAGGTGAGTGCCGTCCTCGGCAGAGGCCCCTGTCCCATCATCACTGCCACGCCTGTACGCGCACAGGCACACACACACGCACACACACACGCATGCATGCCCACTTGTGCACACACGCACATGCACGCACACGCATGCCTGCACGCACACATACAAACACATGCGCACATGCACACACGTGCAGCAATACACGTGCACATGCATACACACATGTAAACACGCATGTACGCACACACACGTGTACACATGCACGCATGCCTGCACGCACACACACAAACACACGCACACATGCACACACGTGCAGCACATACACGTGCACATGCATACACACGTGTAAACACGCATGTACGTGCACATACATGTACGCATGCATGCGTGCACACATGGGTGTGCGCACACGTGTGCACACACATGCCTGCACGTGCACATGCAAACACATGCACACACGCCCAGCACACATGCACATGCATACACACATGCATGTGCGTGCACCCAGATATACACGTGCACGCGCGCACACATACACATGCACACACGTACTCACACATGCGTGCACGTGTACACACCCGCGCGCACGTGTACACACACGCGCACACACGCACACCCACCGGGGCCATCACCCTTGCGGACATTGTCACCGCTTACTCTTGCCCTCCATTCGTCTCGTTCACCACTCAACTCAGCTGTGGCCTTCTCAAGGCAAAGAGAGCAGAATTAGCCCCGCTTCCAAGCTAAAGAAACTGAGGCCGGAGCTTATGGCTGGCGAGTGACCCGGCCGGGAGAGGGGAGCGGGGCGTCTCGACTCCTGCTCCCTTGCCCGGGCCGCCCCGCCTCTGTGAGCTCCATCCATCGGGACGAGGCGGGCATCTGCGGCGAAAGGGGACGATCCCGGGAAGGGAGGCTGTCCGTGAGACTCACTGAGGCGCTGGGGAGAACGCGAGCACGCGTGGGGACAGTTCAGAGGGGGCCCCCCTCCCGGGCCCGCCCAGGGCAGCTCCGGCGCCCCTTGTAAGCCCGCGGCACCTGTGAG